CGATATCACGTTATCCAAGCTAGAATCGATCCATAAATCGATTATCAAAACCCACCCCTAATTTCCTCTGTTGTTCAGTGGTGCATTTGGGTAATCTCAGTCTCTAACTAAACATTCTCCTGTTACTGGCCATGTCATGGAGTGGGTGCCAGGCATTGTTCAGCACTGGGAAACAGTAAATATAATTGGGTTGAAACAAAACAAAACAAAACAAAACAACGTCATGTGGAGGGAGGTACGCCTTCACTTTACCAAGGAGCCCTCATTGAAAAAGGCTTGTCTTAACAGCAGATCTAAAAGCACAGTCAAATATCACACCAAGATTCCTTGCAACCAGGTGATAGTAAAAAGCTCAAAGACTGATGGAGCTCTCCTTTCCATCTTAATGATTGGGATGCCCAGAAAAAAAAAAATTAATTCTGGTTCGTTTTTGTTTTTTGACAAGTTTATCTCCATCTATGATTGAACATCACTTAGACAGTACTACCAGAGCCCGAATACAAGCTAATTATCTGCAAAGCAATGAAAGTCGATGCTGTACTTTTTAAAAATGGGTTCCAAAAAAAGAAATGTATAATGAAATGGGACCTAATACAGAACCTTAAGGTACCCCAAGATGATAAATACTAACCTAAGTGGACAGAGAAACTCCGGACTGACAAATAGTTATTTAAGACAGCGGTCACCAACCTTTTCTGCACCACGGACCGGTTTAATATCAGACAATATTTTCACAGATCGGCCTTTAAGGTGTTGCGGATAAATACAACAAATAAAATGACACAAAAGCTGGGTTTTTTTGTAAATATAATAATAAATGCAGATTTACTGTGTAATTGTGTAACTTCATTAGCAGCGTCCTCCTGAAATGGGCCAACAACATTGAGAGTAACGTCCTCCTCTCTGCCCCTTAATGCTCTCTGGTCGCTATGGTAACATGTAAATATTGCTTTCAAAATAAGACACACAACTACAACACGGGAAAAGATCTGGGGAAACCAAGTTAACGATAAAAATCCTGAAAACTCTAAATTTCACACCCGAGCCTCAACTCTCGCGGCCCGATAATAAACGACTCCAAACGGCCTCTGATTTAAGACATACATTTTATTGTAATGTATTGTATAAAACGTTGTAAAACCATATGTAATGGAAGAGTTTAAAGGAAGATTGTTGTGATACAAGAAGAGTACCACAATAAGTCTGTAATTATTGTACTGAATGTCCTGCTCTTTAACAAAAAAATATCTTGATCTCAAACAGTGCAGGAACTGTGACTACCAACAAGAGGCAGACAACAGCTGTATCTACGTCAATAAAATCACCCATGAGGTTGAGTAAGTAACCACAATACAACATAAATTAGCAAATGTTTTATTTCCTCAATTTGAATAATTTGTCATTTTCCATTGCAGACTGAGTCACACATTAAAGTGGGCGATAACTTCCTGTTCAATCACTGCAGCACTTCTGAATGCAACCAAAACTGTTATGACATCTAGGGTTAAATGCGCTGTGTAGACCCATTCAGCCACACAGATTTGATTGATTTCTCCAAATATGTACAAAAGATTTTCTGTGCACAATTTCAGACAGTACAAAGCAGTGTTTTTATGTGTACTCACACATACTGAATGGTAGTGGTGCAACGGATCACGGTTGATCCGAAATCCGAACCGATCCCACTCCACGGTTCGGTACGCACGTGATCCGAAGATTCGAAAAAGAAAAAAAAAAGTATGTGTATGGTGGGCATGGTCAGTCTGTCAAGCGGTAGTTATGGCCAGCGCTAGCAGTCCAAGTGGAGGAGCAGAGGAGTTTGTGGCATTTAAGCAGCCCTTTGCTGCCCAGTCCGACCGGGCTAAAGCTATTACTAACGCTAATGGGGTTTTTAGCTGCAGACAGGAGGCCGTCGTCTGTTGTGCAAAACAAGGGGTTTAAACTGTGATGAACGTGCTTGAGCCACGCTATGATATCTCGTTGCGCGTCCACTTCAGTGACAAGATCGTTCCAAGCATGTATGAGCAGGAGAAGTTTAAAGTTATGGCTGAACTGTCCCAGGCATCTTCTGTTGCTCAAACTACAAATGGGTGGAGCTCCAGGGCAACGGAAAGCCACGTGACCGTGACCGCTCGTTATCACAGCGGAGTGGTAGATACAAAGCCCTGTACTGCCCTATAGATTACATTAGATTAGATGAAACTTTATTTATCCCTCGGATGGGTTCCTCCGGGAAATTCAGTTTCCAGTAGCACAGCACCAACAGAAGTTGCAGAATGTGAGCAGAAATATACCATATATACACATTTATAAATACAGAGAATACAAAAGGGATAAATAGGAATTAGAATACAAGGGAACGGCACATTTTAAGTATTGTGAGTCTATTACACTGTTGGATATTAACAAAAACTATTGCACGGTGAAAAGGCACTACAGCTACTTGTTCCCCCCTCCTCTGTCCCCATTTCCCCTCCAGCGAGGAGTTAAACAGTTTGTTGGCGTGTGGGACAAAGGACTTTTTAAGTCTGCTGGTCCTTGACTTTGGGAGAAGCAACCTGTCACTGAACAGACTCCTCTGGTTGTTTATGGCTGTGTGCAGAGGATGCAGAGGCTGCCCAGCATGGTCCATAATGTCCATATTGCACCTTAATTTGTTTTTATATAAGTGCGTGGAATGAGTCTTCAGTTGAATGTTTTTTAATAGGCAAAATATATTTAAATAAGTAAACGGCGAGTCGAATTTTTGTCTTCTTTTTTCTATTTTTGCTGATCCGAAAATTGATCCGATCCGTGACTTTAAAACCGTGATCCGATCCGAACCGTGAGATTTTTGATCCGTTGCGCCACTACTGAATGGCTAATCTTTAGGAAAAAATATTAGCATTTTTTGCATGTGGGCTTCCTTTTGTAGTGTGCACAGTACTAGAATTTTAGATTGCATTCATAGGTCATGTCAGTCGATGAGCTCTAAACCTCATGCTTTCATTTTTTTCCCAGTGAACTCACACAAATCATCGCTGATGTATCTCAGGACCCAACACTGCCAAGAACAGAAGACCACCCCTGCCCTAAGTAAGTTTTACCATACCTACTGACCTCCCTCAGCGCCCATGCTTCACCTCCTGTTGATGTTTTTAAGGGTATTTTGGGTCATTATCCTCTTCCATTGTGAAGTGCTGTCCAATCAGTTTTTCAGGATTCAGCTGAATCCGAGCAGAGACTATAGCCTTGTTTGCTTAATCAATAAATTGCAGTGATCCAATTCCACTAGCAGCTTTACATGCCCATGCCATAACACTGCCTCCACCATGTTTGACAAATAATGTGATATACTTCAGGTCATGAGCTACTACTTTTCTCTTCCCGTCATTCTGGTACAAATTCATTTTGGTTTCATGTGTCCAGATATTTTTTTCCCTGATGTGAGTGGGCTCTTTTAGAGCGTGTGGCAAAATCTAATCTGGCTTTTTGCTTTTTGAGTGTAATCAGACGTTTAGACCATTTTGTGGAACCTCTGTAGTTACATTCATGATAATAATCTCATGATCTTCCACTTTAGTTCTGACTGTATAATTGACCACCTGGCTGCAAAAATGCTTGTCCAATTTTGGAGTAATTATGTTTTGTTGTTGTTTGTGTTTTTTTAAAGGTCTGTAATTCCTAAGTGCTTCTACTGCAAAATATTTATTAAAAGGCATCATGATTTGTAAAACGGCATTGTTACGCATACACTTTTTAAGTAGCAAGTGAAATGTGTAATTCTAAAAATAAGTGCAGAGTCAATAATTACTGACACAGCATACTTCCTTATTTAAGCAGCAGAGCATTGTTTAATCTGCATGTCTTGAAACTGATTGGTGCACATAGTCATCAATCAGTGAGACTAAACTGAGCGTATGGTCATGCAAAACGGATGGAGCGTAGATTACATCACTGGGGTCTCAGCGTAAAAGCATTATATTTAACCACATCCCTGCTCTCGTGTGTCTACATTTTATAATTACTTTATGTCTCCTTGAGGCACACTAACAACATATCAAGTAATTATTTAGACGGTCACCGTAGACAGAGGAAATCTGGATAAAGGTTCAGCCTGCCCTGAAATAAACTGTTGGTGGTCATTGTAGGTTTCCACAAGCCATTTCAACTTTAATGGACTGTGGAATGAGATGTTGTGGCTGTGATGGTGGTAACACTTTTATAACGTTTTTCTTTCACCGTTTCTCTTCTTAGATGTGGTCACAAGGAGGCGGTGTTCTTCCAGTCTCACAGTATGAAGGCTGAGGTAATTGCAACCTATGCACTTTCTCTATATCTGCACAAGCTGAGATATATATATATATATATATATATATATATATATATATATAAATAAAATATAAAAAAATCTTTCCCCATGTCAAAAATACAAAGCTAATACATTCTTCTTAGCCCCTGCTTTTCAGAAGGCACCACATTATTAATCCAGAATATATATTTGAGAGAGGTATTTATTAAAATCGTTTGTTTTGACTGACACATTTTTGTGTGTTTCCCCACACAGGATGCTATGCGACTGTACTACGTGTGCACGGCGCCTCACTGTGGACACCGGTGGACAGAGTGAAGCCTTCTGATAATAAAGAGGTCTAGCACTTGCTTCTATGCTGTTGCTGTCAGCACTCGTACAGTATCAATCTGGGTCTGTGTCTACAGTGAATGCATTTGGCTTTATAAAATAGCAGCATTGCTGACCCCTCTGTTATTGTTGTATGGACACTCATATCTGTCACCATGTTGTGAATATAATGTCATCAGTTTTGCTGTTGTGCTTTTTTTTTAGCGCTTGTCATTTTCAAATGTGTATTGTTAGATTAAAACATGTTTTCAAATATCTCTTGAGTCTTAATAATTGTGAAACTCTTCATGCATTCCATCTCTGAGTGACACCCTGGCTACATTTTGAGAATCTTTTGTATAATAATAGTTATTTTGTTACATAATTAAGGTTATATCAAGACTAAGTAACACATAAATGTAAAACCAGGATACAACAGTTAATATAAAAGAGTTATTAGAGTTTGTTTCTTTGTTTTTAATGAATTACTCCTGATTTGGTCTGAGTCACTCAATCGGTATTTCTGGGTTTTTTAAGAAGAGCAAGAATCAGTGATCAGATAATGCTCCTAAATATTTTTAACTATAGGCCGGGAAACCTCGCCAACTCGCACACAAGTTCACCTTCAAATCAAACCAACTGACTTCCAAGTAGAGAAGTCGGTATAGATATTCACTTCCTGTTTCCAGCCTGGACTGTTAATGATTAGGGGGGGTTAAAACCATGAAACACAAGACTGGTTGTGTGTTTTCCTTTGAGTCACAACAGCTGAAAATTTAGACCACAAATCACATGTAACCAGTGCACATCCCCAATATTCACAAAATGTCTTGAGACTAGCTGAGACTCATTCGCTTAATGCTGAACATATTCGCAGCAGAGATGAGCCAAATAAATGTACAGTCGGCAACTTTAATAAGAATTTGATAATGTAATCTACACGTCTTGTTATTTGGTTACAAACTCCATGTGGTTTTACCCATTATGTTATATATATGTGTGTGTGTGTGTGTGTGTGTATCAAGTGTGTTCATCTTTGGTAGCGATGAAAACCTATGATTTCTGTCCACAGTCTTGTTGTTGACAGAAATCCTAGGTTTCTGTTGTTGTTTTAAAGTAATTAAAGATAAATGCTGTACAATCATTCCACCCTGGAAAAAGAACAGTCCAAAGAAGTCATTCAAATCCCCAAAATTCCCATGAAATTCATGGCAAGTTTTGGATTTAGAGGGTAATTTGCAATGAGTGGATACAAACTTCAGACCCGAGCTGTAGCTACAGGTCTGCTCTCAGTCCAACTGGGAAATGCATCTAATACATTACATTAACAAGTAAACGGGAGTAATTTTTGATGAGTCAAGTCAGTTTCTTAAAGCGCCAGTGACACTTCATGGACTTTCTCAGTTTTCAGACTACTCCTAAATTTGAAGATCATGACACGGCTTGTCTTTTTTCTTCCGTGCTACTGATTTTGTAATGTTAGTTAGTAGTTATGCGTGTGAAAAATCAGAGGTTTTCTCTAGCTGTGCAACATTCAGGAAATACTGTGTTGTACTTCCTTCTTTTTTAAGCACGTATATTCCAGACATCTTGTTGGGCAACTGTAAATTATTGCTCGGCTGGTAAAACTAGTGGGAAAATAACTCGTGCTCATTAAGTACATAATAGGTGTACTTCCCAAAACCACACCCCTTGAAACAGGCTCTTTGATAAAGGAGCTGCACTACTTGCCACGAGTTAGTCTGCTTTGTGGGACGCCATGGACCGACAAGGTATGGAAACAGACAGCTTTGCACTAAGGATGGTTTCTGGTTTACTAATTAGATTTTCTTTTTTGAATGCTGAGTATCAATTTGATTGATTTCAATCTGTTTCAGTGAGCATTGTTTCAAGGCAAGAGTGGGGAGCAGCCGCTGCCAAACAAACCAAGGCTCTGAAAGGACCTGCCCGAAGAGTTGTTATCCACCACACTGCCTACCCAAGCTGCAAAGGCCTGGCTGAGTGCAAAGCCAGCCTTGTCAGTATTCAGAGATACCACATGAAAGACAGAAAGTTTGATGATATTGGATACAAGTGAGTTCCTCTGTTAGTGCACAAGAACTGTGTGCAAATGTTTGGTTTTGTTATCAAAGCTTACCTGTACTTCTTCAATGTTTAGTTTTCTTGTTGCTGGAGATGGGACTGTGTTCGAGGGTCGTGGCTGGGGTGTGATGGGCGCACATGCCAAAGACCACAACAGTGACTCACTGGGAATTGCCTTCATGGGGAATTTCAACAGTAAGCACTCCTTATTTTGTGTGTATACAAGAGCATGTTGTTCAGGGTGTAGACATAAAATGATAAGGCTGGGCCTGTGTGTGCAATACAAACGTTAATCTTTATTTAGTAACCGCACCTTGTATCATAGGAAAAGATCATAAAAGCAGGATAATTTTAATACAACAAGCACACACACACATTGGATATTGCACATTATTCTCCATATAATGATAAAGCTACTTCTTGTTTTCATTGCAGATGAGACGCCGAGTGAAAAAGCAGTCGTTGCGGTGAAACAGCTGCTGCAGTCTGGAGTTTCCGCAGGATTTCTACAGCCTGGGTTTGACCTGTATGGACACAGAGATCTGGGAAACACAGAGTGTCCAGGAGAAAAGCTTTACGCCGCACTGCCACGACTGAGGAGCACGTCGTGAACCTCGCAGACGATTTGTCAGTGTTTTGAGGGGAAATTGCACCCCTTCCTTAAATTGCACACAGACCCCATGACCAGCTTCTGTGAAGTAAGCAAGGTGTTAGGAGGAAGAAGCTTTCTAGATCCGACACTAATGCTCACATTTCTTTTTTCCTCGTCACATTATATGCATATTATTTGCACATTATTATATTTTTTATTATCTGTTAGCAGGAAGAGTCTGTTTTCACAGCCTGTCAGAGCTTTCTTTTACAGCAGAGGGAGCCGTTGCATGGGATGAGAATAACGCAGGCTTTATCTGTTTAGAAGTGCAACTGGAAACTCAATGATTAATTGGTTAAGAATTGACAAAAAGTCTTATAATTTAAAAGCTATGATTCTTATAATTGCTGTGTGATGTCAACATATAGAAAGCACCGTAAAGATTTCAAATATTGTGTCACATTTGTTGCATCTTCGAGATCAGCAGACTAAGCTGAAGCTCAAAGTAAAAGAAAATTCTATATAGAGCTATTTAAAACTTAGTGCTGACAACATATAGGCATATAGGGAATAATATATGGGGATTCTAAGTTATTGTGGACCTCTGACCTCTTCTACAAGGTCAAATTTTTATAAAATGTCTTGTATCTTTAAAGTTGTACTTAAAATTCTGCTGCCTTTGTTTGTATTGGCAACAATCAGGAAATAACTCAGGTGTATGGGGATTCGAAATATCACATTATAGTTTGGCTTTTAAATTTCACATCCGCCTTTCTTTTATGCTGACCTCAGAAATGTGTTTTATATTTAAAGAGAAAATTGAGACAAAGACAATGAGCTTCCTAGTTAGTTAGAAATATATTGTAGTATCCTATTATATAATAAGTTATTCATGTCCCATTATTTACAAATCAGTACCTATTATTCATTATCTACTTCTCCAAAATGTAATGTAAATGTATAATCAAAGTAAACATCTGTCAAATTTCTCTTAACTAATTTTTTCTTAAAGGACATTTAAAAAGAACAAAGAAAATAAAAAGAATACAATAAAAACACAATATTGTTCCTTTAAAAGTTAAAAACACACAAACTGAGCTGTCTTGGCAGAGGTTTGCAGTCTCAGAGTGCTTCTTTTTATTACTCGATTCATTGTTTGTTTGATTTTTTTTTTTACGTATGCGAGGAATTTTCTCTTTTTCTCTATCACAAACACCACACAGGGTGAAGGGTTTTTTTTGTATGTAGTTAGAAGAGTTAATGATAATGATATTATCACAATATCTGTAAGAAATTCCAAGAAGCTACTTGTCTAAGCTATCTTTTAGTTTGTTTATTGAGTGTTTTGTTTCATTTTTGGCAAACAGATTAAAGTTAAAATAACAGTTGCAGAAGCCCGTGAGACTGTCTGTAGCCATAACTGTGCAAAAAGAACAACTACACCTCAAGGTAATGTAAACTAAAGGTGAACAAGACCAAACATCTGCCACTCAGGTGAAATAATCACTTGCAAGAGGCAGAAAAAAGAACGTTTGTGTGCGAGACCACGGGCTCACAAAAATAGAATATGTGTATTATTAAAATAATAGAGTTTTTTATCACAGTTAGCTCTGCTGGCATATCGCAGCAACACTTGTTAAACCGCAGAATAATTATTAAGTATATTATTGAACAACAAACAATCTTTACAAGTCCTGTTTTCTCATGCAAATGTCCTTCAAATATCTCTGCAAAAAACACTGTAAACAACACAAGATATGGAATCAAGAGCATTGTAAGTGCTGAAACAACAATGCATGCTTTCTGCAGTGCCAGAAACATTCCCAACAAGTGCTCACTTGTGCAGCACACAGATTATGGAGGAGGGCCCTATCAAACAGGCTAAATGGCAAAGGTATTAGACTGTATGACTAATCCTTGTCTTCATGACTAATATATAGTAGACTTTATTGTTGTCAATGATCAGTGTAACTGAACAAGATGCTAGGGCACAGCTACAGTGAAAGTTCAATGTGTTCAGACAGGGAAGGGAAGTGCTGTGTAAGTTCTAATAGATTCATCAAATTAAATGGATTTCTTTCTTCTGTGAGAAGAATTTGAAACAATAATCCAACCAAGAAGCATGTATATTATTCTTTTATTATTATTACCTTGTCATTGTCGGAACAGATATTAGATATCACTGCACTGGCTATACATGAATCTTTTTAAATGTTTGTTGAGCAATAAACTTAATAAACTAAGTCAAAGTAACGCAAAGGCATTGAGTTTGTGTGTCACCCCTTCCAAGTGGTGAAAAAACAGATATTAGATATTAAATTATAAAACCTGATATGAATTTGCTGTGTGTGTGTGTGTGTGTGTGTGTGTGTGTGTGTGTGTGTGTGTGTGTGTGTGTGTGTGTGTG